GTTGGTAGGTTTGATTTCTTCTGGGCTTCTCTTCTTGGCCATCTTTTCCCTTCTCCTCCCTGTTTCTTCACTTCATCTCCTCTCTGTACCCATCTGTGTCCTAATGTCCTCTTTTTATAAGAACACCAGTCATATCAGAGTAGGGCCCACCCTAATGATCTCATTTTACCTCTTTAAATAACCCATCTCCAAATACAGTCACATTCTAAGGTACTGGGGATTAGGGCTTCAACATACAAATCTTAAGGGCAGACAATTCAGCCCACAATAGGGCAAAAGTATCAGTGTTTTTAACCCTCAACTCTCTGTCTCCAAGTGACTGCAACATGCAGCCAAATTTGAGAGTCAGTGCCCTATGTAGGATTTGCAAAGCTGGCTGCAGTAGAACCACCTGGGTACCTTAAACAAAACATAACAAAAAAACCAACAAACACACACCAACACTTAGGTATCACTATCAGAGATTTGATTTGATCATCGTGGAGTAAGATAGTATTAGTTTACAAAGTCTTTTGGGTAATTTTAATGTATAGCCAGGCTTGAACACCAGTGCCTTAATGTATGAGTTTCTTAACTGTATAAATGAAAGCATATTTTCTTATCATGACCCAGATTTTTTTCTTTGAAAATTTAAGAAACACAGCTTTTTTTAAAAAATGAAAGATGTATATCTAGTGATATAGTATTCAGGTTTACAAAATGAGCTAAATACTTCTAAGGTGGTATAGTTTCAAATATCAAACATGGGTTTTATGATATAATTTTGTATGTGACCAACAGTTTTTTCCTGTTAAATGAAAATAAATCAAAGGAACTTGGGCATATCACTCAGAAGGCAAATGAAACTGATACTTTAATGATTAAGTTGACTAAAATGTCATAACTTTTAGTAAGGAAATTTCATGATTAAAGAAATGATGTTTCTCAGCTTTCAGAAGGAGGCTAGACTTTTCTTTCCAGATGATATCAAAATCTGATAGAAATTCCTTGATTTAATAAGGCCAGTTTCTGTGTTTTGAAGTAAAGCCACTTATCTGGCATTTTTCATTACGGCTTGACAACAGCTGGCTGCCTCCCAGAATGCAGTACTGTGACAGAGATTATTTTATAAAGCCATGGATCAGCTGCCTTTGTAATTTGCTTAAATTGATTATGTGTACATTTCTTCACTCCCTGGGCTTAAAAGAAGTCTTGCACTTGGGTGAGGAAACGGTACTGTTGTTTCAATGACAGAGACCTTGTCCAACATGCAGTGTTACACATAGGCACACTGTCTTTTCCATTGTGCCCTGATAGTATTTTTAGTTTCAATCTTTTTCAGAAAGTTAGTTTTAAATACTATGATTTCTATTTTGACTGAATTTTATAGCCTTAATCAAATGATTTAGAAGCAGTATTTAAGAGCAGAAAGGCATCATTTAAACTAAGTGTGCAGTTTCAGGAGAGTAGTTGATTTTTATTTGTCCTTTCTGTTGATTTCTGACATAGAGATTTGCTAATATGAGCTTTTAACTTTTAAAAAAACCCTAATAAGTAAGTAATCACTTTGTAAAGTTGCGGAGTACCCACACCTTGCTGAAAGAGCTACCAGAATCCCAAGGGCTAAGCTTAAACTAGACTTAACTATATCAATAAGTATAGATATCTTATTTAAAAACACTTATGAACGACAGCCCTAGAAATCCACTAGCAAAGTACCCAAAGAGAAAAACCAAATTACATGTTTTCCTTTTCTTCAAACTAAGGACTGGCCTGGGGCACGAGTGCCCACAGGGACTGAGGTAATGATTTTATCAACAAAGGGAGCTACTTTTGGTTGAAGTGGATTGAATAAATAAGAATAAGAAATGTGGTTTTGTGTTTGGTTGCAAACTCTTTACAGTGAAACCAGAAGGTGAGATGTGGTCGGCAGCTCAGTGCAGTGCATTCCCACTCACCGTGTGGATCGGCCCTCGCTGTTCTACTTTCTCTGTAACAAAAGCTACTAGATATGGCTCATTACAAACATTTACATTTAACCTTCATTGGTGCCTTTAATACAGCTTCGAACTATTTTATTCATATTTTGGAAATCCCTATCCAGTGGCCACCAGAGAGGTTCCCTGGGAGCCTGTTAAAAATCGACCCCTCAGTTTTTCCTGTGCCGACTGACTCAGAGTTTCTGAGGATGGAACTGGGGAACTGGGGAATCTTTCAGGGTGATGGTGGTGCAATCAGCCTTGCACTGGTCCAGGGGACCACCTTCGTGGACTCCTGGTAGTCCACTCTTGGAGCACGGCCGTTGTCGATTCTTTCCAGTCTCACACGGTTCCAGGCCTAACTTCTCCCTTAGAAGATTACTGGGGCTTTTGCTGCACTAAAAAACTAAGGCAATCCAGCAGACGGTCTTCATTCTTCCTTTTGTTGACCTTAGAAACATGTCTCTGAAAGGTCATCATCCTTGAACTTCACAGGAAAGGGCTCCCTGGTCACAAGGCAAACAAACCCCTCCTCATTTGCTTTTCAATTAATCTATCTCCAACTTTAGTTTCCTTCCTTACTACCATTTAACTTTTTTTTTTTTAATTGCATCTTGTCCCTTGTCCCTAGTGCCTTACCACTAAATTTTGTGCCCCTTGTTCTTATTACTAAACTTGCCCCCATCGATAACTTCCTCCTGTAATTATGAAATCTGTTTTTTCCCGTGGCAGTTACGTTGGCATTTCAAAGCAGGAAATAGAAAGTATGAAGAGAATTATGAAAAGAAAAGATTTTTCTTGATTTTCTTTAGAAAGTGAAATTAGATACATACAAGGGACATATGAATTTGATGTTCATAATAGGTAATAGTGTGGTTGCCCCAGTAAAGATTCTGGCCTCTACCAAAACAGCATGGTACTGGCACAAGAACGGAGACCTAGACCAATGGATCAGAACTGAGAACCCAGATATAAAACCTCCTCATATAGCCATGTGATCTTTGACAAAGCATACAAAAACATACACTGGGGAAAAGAATCCCTATTTAATAAATGGTGCTGGGAAAATTGGATGGCCACATGTAGAAGACTGAAACAGGCATACTTGTCCTGCATCTCTCCAACAGGGTGAGTCTGTGCCACTGGCTCTGGGCAGCTTCAATCTATTACCACCCCCCCCACCCCCCCACCCCGGCTTAAACACTATCCGATTCTGGTGCTACTAACCTACCCTCAGTGGGGAAGGCTGATGTGGCAGAGAGAGAGAAGAGGCACGTGTAGATTATATACCCAGGACCAGTAGGGTGATTCTTTTACCCTGCCTCTGTCTTTTTTAAGTGTTAACTTACACGATTGCTTTCCCTCGGCTTATTGTCTTTATGCATTATGTTTCAATTGATTCAATAAACCATGTGATCTGCAAAAAAACCAAAAAAGATTCTGGCCTCTTGCAAAATATAAGGGCAAAAGAAATATTGTCCCAATTTATCTTTGACATGTTCAACACAGGTTTTCTTAGCTTATGGTCCATAACTAAGTAAGGCTTTGATTATGGGGTCTGATGATGGATATTTAAATAGTTTATTCCATGATGTTTCAAGCAGATCTCTCCTGATTTGGAATTTTTTTCTGTTGCTACAATGTGGGAATTCCTTTATTATTAGAATATCAGAATAATTCCCACATTCTCTGCAGTTGCCCATAATTTAGACACTATTTTAATTTTTCAATATTTCGTAATTATTCGAATTAAAAATTATAGTGAAAGTATTACATGAAAATAATTGTCAACTACTTCTATACAGTGTATAACAAAAAATAATATTCTTTTTTTTCTTTTCTCATTGTCTTGTCTCACTTACTAGAAAAATCACTTCAATGTTTTTTGGCTGTCTGTTCTGATATTTACCTCCATAAGGAAATAATATTCTTCTTTATTAATCAATTTACTTCTGGCTGGGCTAGGTAGCTCATGCCTGTTATCCCAGCACTTTGGGAAGCTGAGGTGGGAGGATTGCTTGAGGTCAGCAGTTCAAGACCAGCCTGAGCAAAAAGCAAGACCCTGTCTCTACTAAAAATAGAAATATTAGCTGGGTGTGGTGGTGTGCACCTATGGTCCCAGCTACTTGGGGGGCTGAGGCAGGAGGATCACTTGAGCCCAGGAGTCTGAGGTTGCAGTGAGCTATGATGATGCCATTGCACTCTAGCCTAGGCAACAGAGTGAGACTCTGTCCCCTCCCCCCCCCAAAAAAATTACTCCCTATTAGGGTATATTAGGATTTTTTTCTCATTTATATGGTATACTTCCTTTCCTCACTTCTTCCTTATATAATTAATTATGTCTAAATTTTGTTACGTCTTTTTTCATTATTTTATTATGACTATATAAGTCCTTTCCTCTGTTGAATGATCTACTATATGATTGCCTTTTGTGTCTTATTTTTGTTGTTGTCATTTTTACCTAGATTAGTAGTTGCCTCATTTTTTTCCCTCTGTTTAATTTTCTTTGGATGTCAAAGTCTCCTAACATCTTCCAACAGTTCTGTAAAAAATCTCTTACTACAGTGTTCCATGTGGTCAACCAGTCAGATAATTTACCAGTTCCTTTTTTATTCCTGCTTCTCAGAGCCCGGTGCCTCCTGCCCCAGTGTGCACTGTGTTCTCTGGGCAAGAGGCACAGCGACACTCTGGGAATGCCATTGCCTCTCTCCTGTGTTTCCTAAATCCATATCCTCTTCTTTATTGGTTTATTTATTTATTTTTATTTTTTTATTTTTTTTGAGACAGAGTCTCGCTTTGTTGCCCAGGCTAGAGTGAGTGCCGTGGCATCAGCCTAGCTCACAGCAACCTCAGACTCCTGGGCTCAAGCAATCCTCCTGCCTCAGCCTCCCGAGTAGCTGGGACTACAGGCATGCGCCACCATGCCTGGCTAATTTTTTCTATATATATTAGTTGGCCAATTAATTTGTTTCTATTTATAGTAGAGATGGGGTCTCGCTCTTGGTCAGGGTAGTTTCGAACTCCTGACCTTGAGCAATCCACCCGCCTCGGCCTCCCAGAGTGCTAGGATTACAGGCGTGAGCCACCTCGCCCGGCACTTTATTGGTTTATTCCTTTGATTTGGTGGGGTATATCCTGTAGTGACTTCTTGAGAAAGGGTGTTCAGAAAATGCATTGTTTTAGACTTTGCATACCTGGATGGATAGGTCTCATGGACTAATTCACTGTAGGGTGATCAGACAGGTCAGCTGGATTTTTCATTGAGGACCCCTCAGCATATTACCCTATATAAATCTTTTGTCTTGGGCAGTTTTAGTTTCTTCAGAGAATAATTTTCAGTTTCCTGCCAAGGGAATGCAACCTGCATGCAGATGTTCTGGGGTTGAAGGAACTTGGTGATCAATATACAGATTTTCACTTACTATCCCTGTCTTCAGCATTGACAGAGATACTTGTCCTCCTTTGTGACTTGCTGTTCCTGAGTCTGAAACACCCATGGTTCACTTTCTCTGGAGAATAAACCTGAGATTTTTAGTGGGTAGTGAAGTGGTAGACTTTGGAGAAGTGTTATGCCAGTAAATATTTAATAACTATTGTTCTGGGGGGAAAAAAGTGCCAAACAAAATTGATTTGTAGCATGTTCTATTCATGTAGAGTAAATGCTTTCACTAGCATTGATTTCAAGCTAACAATGTGAGGTCACTGCGAAGTTGGGAAGAAATGTTAACAATTAGCTCTTGTAAGCCAGTACAAGCCAGCTGCAGCGCACCAGTTGATTGAGACCCTAAACACTCCTTCGTTTTAGCAACTTCGCTTACCTGTACCTTCCAAAGTATTTTAATTTCCTAAACACTCCTAGGGACAAATTGGCTGTAGTCTTTGTTTGACTCTTCTCTACTTTGATTTGTTTCTTCCTTCTGTTTTCCACCTTCAAATGTTAAATTACAGTCACTTCTTTATTTCACTGAAGTTGGAGTTTGTGTTTTTGTTTCTTGTCATCTTTGTGGTTTTGGAATTTTGACAGAAGGGAGCAAAAAATGTCTTTCCTTTGCCATCATGAAACTAAACGTTCTGCTCATTCTTCTAAATAAAAACTAGAGTTGTACAATGATACCTCTTACTGTTAACAGTGTTTTGAATAATCTTGTCTAAATTTTTAAAATTGAGTTTATGGTATAAGATCCTGAGAAGTAATTTTTGACTTCGCTATGTAGACCCATTTATTCAGTGCAGCTTTCTAATATACACATATCTGATCAGGTTATGCTTGGAAATCACAGCAGTTTATGGTGGGATTTTAAACTTAAAAGATGTGGAGGAATGTGGGTTAGTGGGAGGATCATAGCAAGTTTTGAGTTGCCCGTGTTGTACCCTCACGGGTTCTTTATCAGACATTGTAGCCAAAGGCATTATTGAGCTCCGAGGTAGGTATGTTTTTTAGGAGGTGAGTGAGGATGGGGATGGGAGCATTTTGATTAAATTTTCAGATTAGAAATACAAAATTAGAAATACAGAATGTCCCAATAAAATGTATACACCTTTTACATGTTAATAGCACAAGCAACCTGTTGTTTGTTCTATTTTGTCGTCAATGTGTCCTTTGAGACAGGCTAACAGTGGTAAAGGCACAGGATCCCTGGTGCTTTGGTCCCAGAGTGTTAATCTGCTAATTGCCAATCATGGGACCTTGAGCAAGTTTCTTCATCTCTTGGTGCCTCAGTATTCTCATCTGTAAAATTAAGACAGGACTGGGAACTCTATTTTGAGGATTAAATGAGTTAATATATTTAAAGCTCTTATAGTGTGAAAGGCATAAGAAGTGCTCACTAAGCAGTAGTTACTGTTTCTGTCGTTGGCACAAGTGATAACCAAATCGGCACTGGTTAACACCTGCCCAACACAGGTTAGATATTAAAATTTTCATGACTGTACATTAATATCATATTAAAGTCATACATGTACTCACATTTTATTGGAATATGTTATTAAGTGTGATCCACAGCCATTTTGAAGCTTTGTCACTCTTCTGATAATTTAACAAACATAAATTGAGTGTCGGCCCTGTACAATTTTAATGCTAAATGCTGAGGTTAAAGAATTTTCCAAATGGATGTGTTATTTGGAAAAAAAATAAAACTAGAGCATTTCCTCAACCTTTACACCAAAAGGAACTCCAAATAGATCAAAGATTTAAACCTAATAAAAAAGAGATAGACATAGAATTATTGGTAGGAGATATGGGTGAATATTTTTATATATTTGGAGATGAGGCTTTTCTATTTATTGACATGAAAAATCAAACCCTAAAGTAAAAGATTGATATATTTGACTAAATAAAATTTTAACTTCTGACTGTTTTAACCACAACAAATTCAAGAGTGAAAAACAAACTGGAAAAAATGACAGACAAGAGTAAATTTAATTACCAATCAATTGGAAAGTGGTGAACAGCCTAAAAGAAAACAACACAAAAAGGCCATTCACAGAAAAAGAAGTTACAAATGACAAGAGAAGCAAAAGGCCTCACTGTAATTTAAAGAGATTTAAAATAGTGATATGTTTCATTTGTTGGAAATGGGAGTGCTAGTGGAAGGTGGGAAGATATATAAACAGATAACTGCCATTTCCCGAGTTTCTGAGCGAAGGGAAAATATCCTTTGGGTGTAGAATTTTCCTGGCCTCTGACCTGAGTACCTAACCTCCTCCTTATCTCTGCTTTCAAGATACTCTGTTGAGTACAACTCTCCTGCAGATTTGTTTCTTTGGAAAAATTCCTTGGCAGGTACCTGTGATTTAATGAGGCCTTCCAGCTGTGCATTAGGCAGGTAGCAATTACTTCCCATTCCCAAGAGCCAAGCATATTCAACCTTTAAGAAGCCTCTCTTCTGAAAGAACCAGAGTTGGCTGGTGTGTGGCCAGCTGGCTGGGTTTTGATATTGCTTTACTGAGACCTTCGACTGTAGATCCTTGTGCACATTTTCCTCAGGGGCTCTGACTCTAGAGGAAAACAAAATAAAACAAAATGAATTCTAAGGGCTTCTGGAAGAAAAGAGGACTGGATTGGTTTGTTCATGGGTTCATTTATTCAATAAATACTTCTTGAGTACTTACTGGGTATCAGATACCATTCTAATCATTGGGCATATGGGGTGAACTTAAGTTTTCATGGAGCTTATCTTTTAGGGGAGGGAGGACAAATAATTTTAAAAGCAAATAGATTTGTTAAAGGATACAAAATTAGCTAGACAGGAGGAATAAGTTCTAGTGTTTTATAGTACCATAGGATGACTACAGTTAACAGTTATATAAATATAATAGGGAGAATTATAAGATAGGAATGTGGCTTATATGTGGATACTAACCTTTTGACTTCACTATAACAGTTGCTTAATATTCTCCTATAATGAAGTTGTTTCCAGTAATAAAACTGTATTGCAAAACCTTCTTAGGTTATCTGAGGCTAAAGTTAGACACGTAGAATAGCAAGAAAATAATTCACGCCTGAGGGCTGCTCTAGACTGGAGAAGCATGGTTGCGAAATCATTGTAATGTATTCCCTCCTGTAAAGTTGCTACTTTCAGCTTCATTGTGTTCCAGCTAAGAGTCTGGAGGTGGGCTTGGTGGACTGAGAAGGTCAGGGATACAATAGGTCACATGAGTTGAACGGCTATAAAATTTATGATCCGTGGTTAAGTTTGGTGAAGGTATAGTTACAAAATGAACAAACTTATGTGATTTTATACCACACTGATCTTTGAAATAAAAATTGTGTATAAATACCTATAATGGTCTGCTATTTTTTGCCTATCCATCCCTTCCTTTCTTCTGGAGACAGTGCTCCCTTTCCTCTGGGAGCCGCTGGAGCTTCTGGTGGGCACTGCCTTGTTCTTGGCGGGACACCGCCCCTTTCCTACTCCCATCTGCTGTCTCACCGGGCCACAGCAGACTGGTCAGGAGTGGGTACCTGACTCGATCTGGTGCTTCCCCTGAAATTGTCAAGTATACTGGGGAAAGAGGCAATTCCTTTTGGCTGTGGAATTTATGAGATATGAAACCCAGGAGCTTCTGACAGCCAGGTTCTGCCCAGAGGATGAAGCCAGGCTGCAGTGGCAAGGTCAGACCATGGAGAGAGGCACACTGCCTGTAGTTTGAGTGTTTGATCCCTTAGTAACATAGGATCCTTTGGCGTTCTTCCCATATGTTTTCTTTTTGCTTAAACTAATCTGAGCTGGGTTTCTGTCACTTAACTACAGCAACAAAATCCTGATGGACACATAGGCACTGTGTGTAGAAAAGATGTTTTATTAAAAGCTAGAAGCCTGTTGGCATCAAAGTATAATAAGTCTGAGGTTAATAACACTGAACTGGTTGGCTGTGGGACATGAACATGTGTTGGCAGAAATCTCATTCATTGAGTGATTGTCTTCTGATGAATATTTAATGGTTTACAAGGCCAATCAAGAAACCTAATCAGTCTTTTTTGATTAGTCAGGACAGTTGTCTGAACTCATTGCAATGAGTATTCATGATTAATTTACGAGGACTGGCAGGACCCCCTTACTGTGTCCCCACCTGAGCAAACAGGTCCTTTCTCAAACCTGAGTCAGGACAGTCTCAGAGTAGACACTTGAGACAATTTATTGGCCACGTAATCCAGTGGTGAACATTTTCTTTATAATCCTTTTGTCTCTCAATAACCTCTCTTCCTCTCTGTGGGATTCCCTGGGTGTCCCAGAAAGTGCTCTTTCAGGAAATCAAGGGACACACTCTAGGCTTTTTACTTTATTTATGTCCTGTCTTAAACCTTCCCAGCCCTGGGTCTGTACTCTGCTGGTGATCAGCTGAAGCATTTGATAAACTCCTCTGTGTTGAAGTGAAATTCACGAATAATGGTTTATTTTGTTGGCCTTTTCAGTTAGTACTTACCTTTTAATTCACTGGAGTGAGTTAGCTGTAGATTTAAGGTGCATAGTAAGAAGAGGAGGGAAATGTTTTTTATGAAGGCAGCACCCAAATACCAGCAGTAGAAGCCATTATATTTGTTGATGTTGAAATTATTTTCTTAGTGGGGAGCCTCTTGGAGAATAACCATACCTGGTAAATAATATGTAATTATTTAACAGTGAAAATAGTATTTTATGTCATATCTATATTCTGGTGTGAATCCTACGTCATTCATTGCTCTGTGTGGATGAATCATGCCTTCACGTGGTATAACAGGCAGCATTTGTGGAGAGCTGCCCTGTGCCAGATACAGCTGGTGCTTTCACACTTTATTTCATTGAATTCAGTCTTCAGAACAATGTTGTGAAGTAGGTTTTGTTATCCTCCGTTTTCAGTGGGGAAAACCAAGCACAGAGAAGTTAAGCAGCTTGGTTAAGGTCATATGGCTAATGGAGGGACATAAATCAGGTTCACTGCCTCTGAAACTTCTTTTATCTGCTACATAATCTTCTAAATTTGGTTTTCCATACCATTCTGATAAACCCAGAAGACACTCACTGTACTGCTTCCTTTGAATTGAACTGATTACCTGCCTTTAGGTAAGGAGTGGGCAGTGGTTGTCATGGTAATCCCAAGGGAGCATAAACCTCTGGCAGCTCACCATGGACCATGACTTAACCCAACTGTGGAAGAGTCTTAATATCAACCAAGAATCACTAAATAATGATACATAGACTGAATGCAGGTTGCTTGTCAGTCATTTTGATCAGAGGGTAATTCCTTGGGGTAACTGGGAATTATTATGTGTTACCTTAAGGTGGTTGAGTTACTGACTGAGAACCTATGAGTCTCTTAGTAATTTCTTATGATTCTGATTCCTAGAGGCATATCAGAGATAGTTCAGACCTGAAAGTTCTAAGTGGACCAGAATCATGCTCTTGCTTATGTACTAATATATCAGTAATGGTAATCATCTACTCAATTTTAGAGGCATTTGGATTGATTAATATACTAATATTCTACTAAATTAAATTATATTTATAAGGATCAAAATCTTTTTATATGTTTTTTTTATCTTTTGTTAAGTGTTTTAAAAAATGTTTTGTGTATTCTAGAGTGTTAGGAAAAATATTGCCCTATTTTTGATAGTTTTCTAAGTAAATACTGATGCCATAGTAGAATAAATCTGCAGGAATTTATATTGCTCCACAATGTGGATACAATACACATCTACATGTGTACTGAAGTAATTTTTTCCCTGTGTGTATGTGGCTGTTTTCTTATTTTTCTGCCTTCACGGTAACCCAGTATGTAATACTGGGGCTGACATCCTATCGTTTGGATACATGGATTTTTAGAACTGAAGGCTTATGAAAGACAGTATGGAGGGCAATGCAAAGAACCTTAAACTGGCAGTGAAAAGACTTACATTTCTCCATACCAGCTGCAGGTCCTTGACCCTCATTTTTCTTGGCCTTAGAATGAGGTGACTGAGAGTGAAATGATCTGCAGGTTCCTTTCAACTTTAAAAGCTGGAATTTTCTAGTGCCAGATAATTGGATATTTGCTTTTTGGTGTTTGATCACAAAACATTTTGGCAATAGAAGAAAACTGACCATACATTATGTTGTTCATTGTCTTGGGATAGAAATTAAAGACAGGAAGACCTGCAGAGAGGCTCAGCTGAGTTTCTCAGATGGCTTGCCTCCTGTTTCCTTCAAAATGATGAGGAGAGATTTTAATCTCTATCGTGTTTCAGCTTCTGTGGTTTCTTTCATGAGCAAGCATTATAACGGGTGTCAAGAACTCTAACCTTTGGTAGGGAGAGGCAAAGATATAAAATGCAACCAAAATGTTCATACTTTCATATTATCTTGAAATAAAATAAAAATGAAAAAAAGAGAACTATATGGTAATTTATAATAAGATGGTATGAAATGTGTGTGCATTTGAGAATAGGTTTAGAGGTGCTTGTTTGCTGAGGTATGACTATATTCAGAAAAGAGGAGCTTTGTAAGCAATAGTAGCTACAGACTTCTATAAATTTTATATTATAGAAGCAGGGATTGTTTTTGGCATTCTGGGATGTGCACTATTTCTAACCATCTTTGTTCTTCCTCTACATGTCAGTTAGGGAAGAACCTCTGACAGAACCCAGGAACTAACAATCAGTGACAGTGGTGATTTATTTTAATTTAGAAGCTATAAGTATTAAAAGAACTTTTCTTTTTGATCGGAAACATTTGAAGAGTTTTAAGAATTTGAAGATTGGAATGTGGAGAATTACCATGTCAGAATTAGAAACATTTTCTAATTCCAGTAGGCATGATATGTATTCATTTTCTGAGCAGTGTATATACTAATTAGTACTAGAACATGCCAATTTTAGGAAGAGGTGTTACTTACATTAATCTTTTCTTTCCCATTCCTATACCTGTTACTTAGTTTAGGCATTTATTACCACTATGCTGGATGATTGTAGGAGTCCGCTAGCTTTTCTCCTAGCTCTCACTGTTTTCTAAATAAGGCTTTGCAGACACTAATCAAATAGATCAAACTCAGATATGATCGGGTCAAAGCCTCCAGTGGCTTCCTACTGCCTAGCAAATAAAACCCAAATGCTTTAGCTTTGCAGTGAAGGTCCTTGACAGTCTGATGGGATTTTTGCCTTGTCTTAGGAAGTCTCTAGCTAGAACCCTATGTCTTGGTCAATTTGAATGCTCGCTTTACTTGATTATCCTCTGTTCTTCCCTTCATAGGCATTTGCTTGTGCCACTTCTTTATATATTGCTCTCCTTCCATCTTATAATAAAGGCAAGCCCAACTGTTCAGGGCTTTTTAAAAGCTTTTAACTTCATTCATTCTTTGCAATTCACTTCTGTTAAGAGTTATCTTTCCTTCCTTTAACTCTGCTAGAATACTGAAACTTACTTAAAGCATTATGATTGTTCCCTTGTGTTATTATTATTTCTTGTGTATATATGTTTTTTATGTTATATCCTTTTACTAGATTATAACTTTTGGAGGCAGGAGCTATGTCTTTTTGTTTTGTTTTTTCCTTTGAACAGTAGGTTCAAAGGATTGACCTCTATAACTGCCAGCTGAGTAGCTCAGTGGATGAAGGGTTTTGCTGAAATACCCTCTCTTTCAGCTTCTTTATTCTTACTTCTTTCTTTGATCTAGAAACACTGAGCTAAGGTAAAGTTGGTGGGTTTTGTGTGGTATTGGGCACATGTGCATGTGTTAGTCTGCCTTTAGGCTGTTAAGTTTTAACTGCTGGTATTCTAGTCTTGGGTGTAGTTCTCAGGTTGCTGATTCTCTCGGATATTCTCAGACCATCTCCTCTATAAGAAACAGCCACCCCATGCTTGGCCCTTGTGCAGCCTCTGTTCAACTAGGACAGTCCCTCCTGGAGAGCCCCTTATCCTGCTTCAAGCTCTAAATCTAAGAATGCTACTTTTTATGCCAAAAATCTTATTTTGCCTGTATACTTGTTTTCTTGGGCATATTCCCTCTGTCCCAAGTCCAATTCTATGATAATTGTTGGTTTCCATTATTTTTATTTTTCACCTTCAATTATTTAATTTTATCACATAGGCTGCACAAAATATTTCTTATGCTTAAGTTGTCCAGTTAATGCAGTTCAGTTGTCCTGTTAATGCAGATCTACTACATTAAAAGACTAATTTTCTAATTTCAATCTTTTAAAATTCAAATGCAAATGGATCCCAAGTTTATATCCAGTTCTAGAATGATCAAAAAGACCATCATATTTCTGACCTCTCTCAATTTTCTCTCATGTGGCTTCCCTTGTCTGTAGCTTCTATATTTGTTCAGTTTCAGTTTATTGGCTGATAACAACTCTGGTTAAGAGTTTGTTAGGATAAAAGGTTGAAAAATGAGCAAATTAGAATTTTTTTGGTGGTTGGGGAGATTTAAATATTCCATGTATCCATATTATTTCTAGCCTCCTTTTTATAGCCAGTTACCAAGTTACAAAGAATTTGTGTAACATAAATCACACAGTATCTAACCATAGTGCTCTTTGCTGTAGAATGTGTTTCAGAATCTTAAAGTGCCATTGTGATTGTCACTATAAATGTCAGCACAATCCTGAAAATATGCCAGAACACCTGTGACAGAAGGGTTTAGTAATAATAGTTACTGTTTATTAAATGCTAATTATGTGTGTTTACGCCCTGACCTCATTCAATCCTCACATCACAGAGATGCTGTAAGGTGTGAAGTGTACTCTATTCTCAAGCACAGGAGCTATTTAACTTTCCCAAGGTCACTCACAAAGCTGGTAAGTGGTGGAGTTGGGCCTTAAATCCAGGCAAATTGACTGGAGAGTCTATGCTCTTAACCAATCATCTCTATTGTCTCTTAATTACTACAGAATTTTCAAACTTTGGTGTGCATTAAAATCATTTGAGGGAGCTTCCAAGATACCGATTTCTGAGCCCTAATCCTAGAAAGCTGCATTCAATTGATCTGGATTAGGCCTAGGAATCTGCATACAAATAAGCTTCTACACATTCTGCAGTCCTGCCACTACATTCTGAGAATTATCATGTTGTATGTGCTGTCTCAGGTTTTTATCATTATATACATGCACATAGACATATTCATAATATCATCTCTCACTCTACCTGGATTACTGTTCCACTACAATATCCTATTCCTATAGTACTAGAGTACTATAGAATGTACTGTAGACAAAGAATTAGAATAATTCTTTTTTATTTTTGCCCCAGACTAGCTATATGACTTAGGCCAAATCACTAGTCAGGGTGTGTGTGTGTGTGTGTGTGTGTGTGTGTGTGTGTGTGTGTATACAAAAGGAGATTCATTATAAGGAACTGGCTCATGTGATATGGATATTGGTGGGTTCAAAATCTGCAGTGTGGCTGGCAGGCAGGAGACCTAGGAGAGCTGATGGTACAGATGATGTCTGAAATCGATCTTCTTGAGAATTCCCTTTTGCTTGGGGAGGCTGGTCCTTTTGTTCTATTTAGGTCTTCCACTGATTGGCTAAGACCCACCCATATTATAGAGGGCAATCTGCTTTACTCAAAGTTCACTGATTTAACTGTTATTATAACCCAAAAATACCCTACAAGTTGACACATAAAATTACCTATCACATTATTCAACTCCTCTGGGTCCCTGAAGTGAAATCCCTAATCACCAGGGATTAGGCCAGCTGATCATAACTTTATAACAGAGACACCAAATGGTATACCCTGAAAACTGATGGCTTTAGTTTGGCTTACCTAGAGTTGTCCCACCCAGTATTTTTTTAAATTTGCATTACTGGTATTTGCTAGTAAGTTCTACATTAAAATCTTTATTTCTGGTTTCTTAAAAAACAAAACAAAACAACTGGTGATCTGGCAACATTGCATGGTCACAGTGTAGCTGAGTCACAGATGTCACCCGTAGGAGGGCTTTGCAACCTCCCAGTTCCCCACCGCCCTTCCTGCCTCATTCACTGGGTCCACTGCATTTAATTTCTATGAGCTTCAGAGTCCCTGTAGGTGTTGGAGTTTTTGACCCTTGTCTTGCTAGCTACTAAACATCTGTGGCGGGTCCACCTTCCTGATTAAAACTGACAAGGGGAGAACTAGGACTTCTGAAACACAATGAATGTCTGGGCTTAGACTGGAAAACAGAGCTATCTCTTCTTTGTGTGTGTGCAGTTTATCACCTTCCCCAGAGCTGCCTTCTCGGGGCTCCTCAGATAACTACCTTCTTTTGAATTTATAAAAAGGATGCTTTTGTATTCCTGCATACTATTTTTTTTGGTAGGAGGTGATGGAAATTGTGAACTGGGTTCTTTAGAGTCACTGAATGGGTTGACCAGGTGAAAAGACAGAGGAACATTGATGTAAGAATAGAACCTGCTAATTTTGCATAGTGCTGAATTCCTTCATGAAGCTGTTTCAGATGCTACAGTTACCTTTCCTGTTGCAAGGCTGGCTTCGTAGGAAAACAGAATGGGCAGTTTAATAGTACGATTTTAATTTATGTAGCCTCATTACTTCCTCAGTTGTTCCCTGAATGCTGAAATTAATTCAACCAGGACAAAGACTTTTATTTCATGATAGGAAAGGGAGTTCATATAGCAAAGATTGAGAATAGCAATACAAGGTATAAATTGACACAGGAAAAAAGTGGTGATATTAGAGTCATACTGCAAATACATTTTGATGGGGAGACTGGTGGAAAAGATGAAACCCAGGGGTCTTGTATGTCTGAAAATGGTAGAATGGAAAAGGGTACGGTAATAGAGAGGCTTAGAGGACCAAGACTTGCTTTACAAACTGCTGCAGAATGGCTGGTATAGCAACATCCTTTCTTTTCATGTTAACATGTCTATGGCCACTTTTTTTTTTGACAAAATGTATATAAATTGCCTTTAGGGCCTTGAAAATTAATTCCATCGGGTGTATGGTTTGCAAACATGCTCTGCTTTTCTGTGTTTAAAAAATGTATTTCAGATGTATAGCATTATTATGATTTCTCTAGAAGTAATTCAGGAATGTTGAATCACTGTCAGTTTCTTGGCAAACAATATTTGATTATAAATTTATGCTCCATAGGACACACAATTTTAGAAGTATTCTGGAATGTTTCCAAATTTTATTTTGGAACCCAGCATTTGGTTGCTCTTTAATAATCTCAATCAATAATGGTTTATAATAGTCATAAATGTGTTAGCTTTAAATATCTGCTGTATTATATTTCAGCAAGAATGTTTTTGCTGTTCCTTTTCCCAGAGTGTATATTTGAATGTTGATTTTTTTGTGTGTAAAGTTTGTTTTATTGATACTTGGATTCCTGCAGATAAATTGTATGAAGAGTATCCAGAGAGGGGTAGGAGGAGAGGGGAGGGAGAAGAGAAAGAATAGGTTTTAATGTCTAATGTTAGATTTCCTGCCTGGGAGGCATAGGCTTGCCTCTAGATTTTTCATTCTTAGAACATTTCCTATTACTTTCTCTTAATCTATTAATTTTGAACATATGAGGGTCATCATTATCTCTAGCCAGTTGCTTATTTTCATCTAGAATAGATTTGTAGCTTTCTTATTTTTAAATCTCCTTAATACTTTATTTATATATGCCCTTTAAATCACAGGAAGAGAAATATTATACTTAGTAAAGTTTTGTGCTTCCTATGCTGTCTTTTGGAGTAATTTTAGTAAATGATTGACTATAACTTTTGAAAGATTGCTTATTATGTCATTCTGTAAGTAACTATAGTCTTATTTGACTCAGAGACAAAATAAGCTTAGGTTCCAAGGCTGTGACAGTTAACATCTTTTTCCTGCACCAGATACTAGACTCTACTTGGAGGTAGTTTTGGAAATGAAACTATAGACCTCAGGGGTTATTTTTGATCTACAAGGCTAGGCTGATAATGGTGCTTTCTTTTGGAACAAAAGCTGAGATAATTCCTGCTTCTTCATTTCAGGCAAAGGGTGGAAAGTAACAAGAAATGTGCTTTAGGAAATAAATAAATAGACTTGGAAAAAGGCTGTATCTATTTGAAGTAGTTAGTCTATTATAATTAGAAACATGAATAATTTGTATTTGAATAATAGAAGTGATCCAACTATCCTTGGAACCTATCTGGCATAGTATATAGTACATTTTTTTTAAATGAGAGAAAAATCTATTGTAAAATGACTCTATGTCCTCAAAATAGCTTGCAAATTTTGTTCATAACCCTTTTATCTTCATTCTTATCCTCCCTTTTCCTTTAAATATATGTAAATGCAAAGGGAAAGGTGGTATATGTATTAACAGGTCATTGAGGGTGTCAGTGGAGATACCACCTGGCATACCCATGAGCTGGGATCACCACAGTTTGGGACATTTAAAGTGGAGTAAAATACAAGTGGCTCATGTGTGTGTGTCCACTTGATTACAGGTCGCTTATCCATGGTGATTTGAGAATCTCTAGTTAGTTTTTTCCTTCAACTCAGAGTTCTTCTCAACTACCCATCATGTGTGCTGACTAATGCCAACTAACTTCTTATACCAGCCTAGGCCCTAGAGGTGGAGTAAGGTCAGAGTGTGGGGCAGAACCAGATGTGGAAGCAGAGGTTGCTGCTCCAGCTTAGAGACCAGAGGGGCAGGTTGTTGAGCAGGTGCTGACATTGTGGAACCACAGGTAGGAGTCGTCCCTGCTTTTTATCTGTGTGGGACAATCGCCATGTTTTGTTCTTATGTTGTCCTAATAACGAAGTGACTTGGTATCATTAGATATATAGAGGCAACTGGAAAATATTCTAAACAGACGATTTAGAACTGATATAAATAGTCTACTCAAAGGTGGGAGCACAGCTTTCCACTTTCCATTTGCTTATTACTTTGAGGGTTTCTTCAGTGACTCTCCGGTGACTTGTATGTGTATTCATCATCTACTTGACAGTTAACAAGTTGGTCAGAAAAGTTTCATCTGCCTCATGGTCCTAAATAAAAAGGTAATAAACCCAGAGGAAAGATTACATCTTCTCCCTTGGTTTGTTTTTAATATTAATAAAATGTCAGTGCTCTTTAAATGTAGAATTCTATAATGCATATGTATTATACTTATTATACTTTGAATTATTTTGTTCAAAAGAGAGAAGCATGGAGAGAAATCATATGCTTCCTCATATAACTCAAAGGTCTAATCTATCAAAGCTAGAAAAGTTATAGTCATCTTGGGTGACTTTTGGTTTTTCCCTTATTCTTGTAAGGCCTCTTCTCTTTCACACACTGATATTCTCTAACAGCTTCCCCCTTGTGACGTGTGTTTGGCTGAGTAGCTTCTTGTGAACATAGCCATTATTGAGTTTAAATGTCTTTTGCTTATTATTCCAGTGACATTCTATTACCTCAAGATAACTTACAAGTCTAATTTACTTAAGTGGATATTGCTTTTGTACATTATGTTATGCTTTAAATTTCAAGGTTCTGAAATTATTTTCTGCCTTTTAGAGGTCCAAAAATCAAGCTATTTTTTTGTTATTTTCTTTAATCTTCACAAGTAAATTAGATTAATTCAGATAGACTCTGGCCTTGGGAGAGCTAAGCTCAAGTGGTCACATAAAACCCAGAAGCTGTGGAGGCCCTAAAAGGCCAATTCAGAATTCTCAGAAAGCTGAATGCACCACACAGAATGATCAGAAACTCTCCTACAAAATGATAATAACAAGAATAGCTGTCATTTTGTGGGTACTTTGTAACTTTCAGACTCTTTAGATACATTATCCCAAGGCAATCAACTGGGAGGATAGAAATACAGTTCAAAATCCTTTTCTTTGCATTGAAGGGCTTTCAACACCATGGTGCTTTGCTTTCCAGTTTTAGTTTCCATTCCTCTATTATCACAATTATTTTATCTAATCAGAATGGTCTGTTTCTCAACAAAGCTGTCTCTCAATAGCAACACAGGATGCTGCTTAGGAAATTGAAATTGTTCTTCTGGATACTATGTCTGGTTTTTCACTGCACTTCTTGTTCCACTGGAGGTTTTCGGAACACAGTGCAGGAGTTAGTCACCGTGGATTACTTCCACTACCCCTTTTCTGAGATCTTAGAATGGTCTGGATCATCCAATAAGTGGTTCAGAAATGGCTGTCTTATAAATTCAGAGTGAGTAGTCTAAAAGGACAATTTACACAGAATTATCCTCAAAGTGTGTGAGTGAGTCTAGTACATATTGTACTGTACATTTTTAATAGGGTGTGTGCAGTGGCAATTTGTTCTCTGTAATAGAGATGATATATCTGGTTTCTCAAGGATAGCCTCTGAGTTAATCAGAGGCTCCAGACACGTAAGACAGTTCCAGGCGAGTGCTATTTATGGATGCTTCTCCATTGGTGCCAGAAGTGACTTTGCTCTCCCCACAACTCCTTCAGCCTTTCATCACCTCCACCCTATAACCTGTGTCCTAGCTGTAGCTAGCTACCTCTTCATCGCCCTTCTTGCTTTTCACATTGCTTGGCTTACAGTGTTTACTTAATACATATGGTAATCATTGGTGTTGCATAGCAAATATTTCCAGCTCTCAGCTTTCTGGGCAGAAAGCTGATTGTATTTTGCACCACCTTTGGGTAAAGGACTCGCTTTGACCAATGAAATGAGAACAGAAGTGATGCATGTGATTTTCAGGTGGATTCATTTAATAGCCAGTGCTTAACTCCTCCTTTTCCTTCCTGTTAATTGTGATGGTGTGTTGAAATGAAGCCTGAGCTCCTGAATGACTGCAATGACCAGAGTTTCCTGTTGACCCACCAACTACATGCAGTTTAAGTGAGACGTATTAATATATTTTTGATGCTTTAAGCCACTGGGATTCTGAGATTGTTTGTACACAGCATAACCTATCTTATTCTGACAAATACGCTGAATCTGTGCTTTCCAGTATGATAGTCACCAGCCACATGTGGCTCTTGGGTCCTTGAAGTATGGCATCTTAGTTAATTTTCTGTTGCTAGAACAGAATACCTGAGACTAGGTAATTTATAGAGAAAAGAAGCTTATATCTCGCAGTTCTAGAGGCTGGAAAGTCTAAGAGCACGGTGTTGGCATCTGATGAGGGCCTTCTTGCTGTGTTATCCCATGGTAGGAAGTGAGAGTGCAAGTGAGTTTATGTGAAAAAAGAAAGTATGAGGGCTCAGGCTCACTTTATAACCACCCACTCTTTCAATAACTAATACACTCATGTGATAACAGCATTATTCCATTCATGAGGGTGAAGCCCCATGACCTAATCACCTCTTAAAGGTCTCACCTCTTAATACTGTCACAATGACAATTACATTTCAATATGAGTTTCAGAGGGGACAAACATTCAAGCATAGTATTTGGCTAGTCCAAATGGAGATGTGCTATAAGTGTAGAGCACACACTGGGTTTTGAAGATTTAGTATGACAAAAAGTATGTAAAATAGCTCATTAGTAATTTTTGAATATCGGTTACATTGAAATAATATTTTGGATATGCTGGGTTAAATAAAATATAGCATTAAAATTAATTTCATCTGTTTCTTTTTAGTTTTAAAAAAATTATACACGGCTTGCATTATCTTTCTGTCGGATAATGCTACACTGAACTACAAGCTCACTGAAGACAGGAGCTCTATCTGTTTCAGGCTTGTTTACTCATAATATCTAACAGTGTCTGGGATATTCGATATGTTAAATGAATGTAAGTTTCATGAGTAAACTATATCACCATTATATTTAGTTTAACATTTAAAAAATAATGCAGTTTTCAACATGAAGCTTATTTGTATTTTTGTTTAATAATCCCTTTTTCTTTAGTTCCTTTAGCCAAAGAACTCCTCAAATCTTTTTAAACCATCAGATAATTGGATGTTATATTTTATGTTATGTTTATATTATATTCATGTTTTAAAAATGTTATACACTGCAAAAATGCTGGGGTTATGCCCATTAAATACTTGCCCCGGTCAAATTTTTTAAATAAGCTCACTCCTTATGGCTAGCATTTTCTTATCTTTGTAAAAATAATGAAGAAACCCCTGTTTGTTCAGTCATAATCATGGCCTTTATTTATTTTCCAATATCTACCGCTTAGGCACTTTATTAAATGGTCTTGCCCTTTGCATGAGGCCTTGTGCTACAAATCAGAGGAAATGGAGAAGGAGAAATGGAATGACCATGAGGTCCTTTTGGAACATCAGGTGTGGGGACCCCACATGTGAAGAAGCAGTGCCTGCTGTTTTCAGATGAGTCAGACAGAAGTAAAATAGGTGGTGAAAGGAGCCTTTGAAAGGAGCAACACATCTTCAAAAAAAATAAAGGGTGGGGGAAACTCAAAGTACCAAATAGGCTGGAAAAACATGGTAAGCACTTAATATATTATAACTACTGGCATGAATGAGTATGAACCCACAGAGAGTTATGGAAGGATACATACTAGGATATTCTGTTGCCTGAGGAGGGGAGGGGGTGGTGGCACAGGGAAGGGGGAGATAGATACCCCCATCAAAAGGCTATAGAATTAACAAGGACTTGGCCACAAACCAACTGTTATATACTATTCTGTGTGCAAAAAATCACATTTTATGTGTATGTGTATAGAAAGCTATTACAACAGAGTGGTTACCAAACAGTAGTGATTCTCTCTCTGAGTGGTGGCTGAATCTCAGATGATTTTTATTTTCTTTGTTATAATTTTTGAATTTTTATCCAAGTGAGCATTTACCATTTGTATACTTAGTAAATAATCTGATCTGGGATTTTTGCATGTATGCGTAACGTCAGGACAAAGTTTAAGAACCCAACCCAAAGTTGTCTATATTGTTTATATTCTACTCAATACAAATTATTTTATATAAAACCATCAAATTATTATAGGTAAAAAGTAATCAGAAACATACTGCAAATACATTCATTTAAGTTATTAGGGACTGTTTTAAATGTACATATTTGTAGGATTGGTCTCCTCCTCCCTGAGTTAGACTCCATTTGATTTTCTAACTGACAAAGGGAAATAGTGGTTCAGATCACAGAAACATCTTATCTAAAAGTGAACATTTCTTCAGAAAGAAAAAATGCTTTTGTAAGATTATAGAGGATTTGGGAATTATGCCATGAGGGCACATGCTGAGTAATATGTTTTTGAGGCAGGCTGCCAAGTTTTGTCAAAGAAAGGCAAGTACTGGGTTTGTTTTGCAATGTCTGGAAAACTTGGAACTCTAATTTCTTGGAAAAATCTTTCCAAGATAAACTCAGTGTGAAGGAATTCTACCTCAAAAAATTACATGTAGCAAGAGGCAAGGAAAAACAAGGTGTAATAAGATGTGAGATGAGAAAAGGAGGGTTCTCCCCTCCCTCCCTCCCTCCCTCCAAGAGATTGTGACCTTGTTGAATTCAATTACATGTCTGACAGGCTCAGAGGAAACATCCTCGTAAGGTTAATTTTCCTGAAACTCCTGAGCAAGGGCAAAGTAAATAAATTATCCTTCATTATCAGTTCTCTTTTATCAATCTTTAAAAATGTACAAAAGATAAGGCATAAGCATCTAAAAACATTCTGAATTGCTTGGGTATCTTGAGCAAGTCATTTAAATTTCCTGGATCTCATTTTTCTAATCTGGAGGGTTTGGATGGTAAAACTGCTATGGTCTCTCCTAGGTTTTATTTATTTTTTAAATAAAATAGAAACTATATATTATTTTTGACATATTGATATACTCTTTGTATATATCAGCAAAAAGTTTTTTTTTTTAATCAAGGACTTTTATTGCTCTTAATATAAAAATCCAAACTTTCCCCCATAGCCTACAAGGACCACCTGACCTCGTGCCTGCCCACCTTCTGATCTCAATTCTGGTCACGCTCCCCTGTGTTCATGCACTCTGGCCACATGGATCTTGCTTGTGTTCCTGGAACACGTGAAGCTCATATGCTATGAACAGCATTGTGGTGACTTTATAGCATGACCTAGAACTATGATCTTTCCCAAAGTCCCTTCAAGTTCTCTGAATACCTTGAAGCCTTTGCATGGTTGTCACAAGGGTTGTGGTGATTGAAAGGAAGAATCCAACTGATCCGGGTTCATGTCTGTATCAATGAGATAGATGGCTGTACAGAGCAGGAGACAGAGCAATATTCTCCTCTTTGCAGGGGTAAGCTTCCCTTGCCCCCAAGTCTTCAAGAAACACCATCTGGGTCTTTGCCAGGTGGGTCCCAGCTGCTCTGGGAAGTTCCCAAACACATCAGTGCTTGCCGGTGTAAGCTGTGAAGTTATAGAAGAAAACAAGTGGATTTTGCTTGGGGACTGCTACCACCATCTCTGTCAGCTTGAGAGCTGGTGGGAGCCAATCCAGCAGATTTTTGAATTGAAGGTGAGTTCCGGGTGACCTTGAGACCAACTGTCCCAAGTAGGATGATATTTTAAGCCTGCCTGATGTGTTTACCGTACTCCAATTGAAGAAAAATTGTATATATTATAGCTTATTCATTACTTCTGCATTTATTGAGTGCCTAATATATGCCATTTGGTGACAATGAGTATGAAAAAAATAAAACAGGGTAATGCAATAGGGAAGGATAGGTACAATTAAGATTGGGATGGCCTCTTTGAGGAGGTAACGTTTCCTCCTTAGTAAAAGGAGGGAGCCAGCCATGAAAAAGCCTGGTGTTAGGATATGCCAGGAGAGGGACTAGCAAGGGAAAGATGGGGATGAGCTTCACGAGTTCCAGGAACAGAAGCAAGGCCCATGTGGCCAGAGTGCATGAGCGCAGAGGAGTATGACTAGAATTGAGATCAGAAGGTGGGCAAGCACAAGGTCAGGGAGTCCTTGTAGGCTATGGGGAAAAGTTTGGCTTTTTATTGTGAGAGCAATTAACCATTGGAGGGTTTACAAGAGAATGATATGGTATGATTTGTGCTTTTCATTGTTCCTCTGGCTGCTAGGTGGAGTACAGATGGGGGAGGACTTGGGAGAATAGGGAGTTAGTAATCTAGTGATTCAGATAAGAGATGATGGTGACCCAGACAAGATTAGTGGCAATTGAGAGGGAGAGAAGTGTCATGGTTTGGGGACATATTTTAGAGTAGAGCCCACAGGACTTGCTGATGGATTATTGTAGGAGAATAAGAAAAAGCATAAATGAAGGACGATTCCTATATTTGGGGCTTAAATAACTGGGTGGATGGTGGGGCTATTTATGAGGAACAGGTGACTTGGGGAAAAACTGGTTGGAGGCATACCGGGAGTTCTTTCTGATCTTGCCATATCAAGTTTGAGCTGCCTAATAGGTATCGACGGGGAGATGTCAGAGAGGTAGCTTGGACTTCAATGGAAAGGCTGGGGCTGGAGATTTAAATTTGGGAACGATTGGCATGGATCTACTATGAACTGTGAAAAGCTAAATAAAAATTTAAACCAGTCCTATAATGTATTTTGAGCATGTGCTACTTTCAGTCAGAAAAAAAAAAAGATCTCTTTTATGAAATTAAAGGAGATAATTATTACTTACTATTTAGACTTTTTGTAGTAGTTGATTTTCAGGCAATTAGAATAACCAAATCACTGTTATCTGATAATGAGAACTAATTTGGGAGTGCTGATGGTAGGCTTGCTCACTGAGTAAACAGAACACAGCACAGAGCTTGTCTCTACAACTGAATATGTGAAGTTCCTCTTCCCGTCTTTTTAGACTCAGGGCTGCAGAATTAGGGCAGAGTTTGATTCAGAACGTTCAGTCTTCTTCATCGCTAAGGCAGTGTCTTGATTCTCTAATAGCAGTGTGTCCCCTGGGCGGGATGCTGTTGGGGGAAACTCTTGTCCCCACGCACCCTTGTCTGCGCTGCGCCGTCGGAGGTGTCTGTGCTGACAGTGACGTTTCACACCATTGAGTGTCCACTAAATGCTCATTACGGTGCCAGTTGTTTTGCATAGATAATCTCTACATCTTATTAAAATCCTCGCAAGGTAGGTATTTTAAATTCTGTTTTAATGATAAAATTGAAGCTTAGGATTACATGGCTAGGAAATGGCAGAGTCAGGACTCAGGTCTAGGTCTGCCTATTTTCTAAACTCATCTACAATTTTTATTCCTTCTTCTAGCCTGGTAAACTACCCAAATTCCCCTTAGTTTATTCTCCCAGCCCTGTTTTTCCCATCAACCTTTTTTTGTTTTTCCAGCCAGATATGCAATTGCCCGCTATCTACTGTGCTCTCTTTAAAAGTGGTCCCCGAGGTGCACATGCCCACCCTCTGATGCCTCTGCTCCCTGTCTGTAGATTTCAGTCCCATCCTCCCCTCCAGTCTCTTCCTTCTCTCTCACCCTGCCTTCCAAATACACTCGAATTTTCTATTAGTCACACAAACCTCACATTCTTTAACTTCTCCCTTAGCATTTCCCTACACTCTTGCCAAGACTCAATCTTGGCTTTGCTCTAAGTTACAAGTTCCCGAGCCAAATTCGTCACTCGTGGTCACTTCTTCCACTTTCTCTGGCTCTCAGCGTGAGGAGCAGGGGCCAGCACATTTCCTGCTTCCCACCATCACACTCAGGCTCTTGCTTGTTCATCGTCTCTCAAAAACTTGTGTTTTGAAACTCCGCTCTGTTTTTGTATTCTCCACCTTTTCCAGCTTATATTTAACTCGCATCTTCTGCTCACTTCTCACCCCATTAAGAATCCACTTTTGCTGACTCCCTCTCTTTCTTCTGTCATCTTCAGGAACCTGAACACTTTATCTGATGTTCTAATTCCTGTCCTCAGAGATCTCTGGCCTCTGGACCTTAAGGACCTTTAGTTCTAGGATGCTCTTGCTCCGTATGGGCACAGCCACACCTCAGACCTGCTCACCATTGGAACTGCCCCTATCTGCGCTGATCTTAGATGACAGTCAGTTATGGTTTCATCTGCTCTCTCTCTCCTCTCCTACTGGATCTTGACTTTATCCTCACTACAATGCTCCTTGCCCTGGCACTGCCTCGACATACCACATTGGCCTCCCCTACCTCCCTCCCCATGTGGACATTTTGTTTTGCCATTTAAGCCCAGTTCTTGATGGCTCCACAGACTTCAGGCTCTGGTCTCCATGTCCTATTTTACTTGCTCTGCAAATCTCCAATTCTGGGGATGGACCATTTGATTTCTTTACTGCTGCTCCCATATTACTGAGTACACCAAAAAGTCATAAACCCTGATTTAAAAAAAATAATGAAAATACATTATAACATTTTAGCATTTAGCCCAATTCCCATGATTGGTTAATTCAGTGATCCAGTCACATCACCAAAGACCTGGGATCTTTCCATTTCTCCAGCCTCCATGCCCTGTTGCCCTTATGAGGCCAGCGCCACTCTGTGGCTAGCTACCTTTTCCGTTGCAAGACAGCTGCTGCATTTCCAGGGGCCTCACAGAGATGAGACTCAGCAGAAAAATTGGTCTGGTTGGCTTTACCATAAATACCAACCTACAATTAGAACCTTTGACGGCTCCATTGAAATCTCATTCTAAATTAGCTCCCAGTTGTGTTCCTGAGTATTTCCCAATTCCAATCGTATCGAGCTCCACCTACTTCTTTCTTTTTTTGCCTCAAATGTTTCTTCCCTATCTGTCCCTATTGCCTCTACCCTAACTTTACCCAGCAATTGTTTACCTTGCTCCCATCTATTTACTATACTTTATCTGCCCCTGCCAGGTTGCCCTTCTGGAAGCACAGGGCTGAGCATGTCACTTTCTTGTTCAAGCCACCTCTAGTGGGTCCCTAAAGTTCAGATTGCTTAGTGTGGCATTTGGGGTCTATCTTGATCTGGCTCTGTACTACATTTTCAGTTTTAATTTCTATTCTTTCTGTTCATATGCCCAATAAGCCAATCAAACTGGAAATCTCTGGATATTCCTTTACTGCTCCCTGGATTTCCCCACTTCTGTCTTTGTTCCCTTTTTCTGAAGAGGACTTCCCCTCAGCTCTGCAAATGAAATTAACACAGACTTTAAGGTCCAACTCCGTGTCACTTCTTTTAAATTTCCTAATCTTTCTCATTCTCAGCAAGACATTATAGTCTTCTGAATTTTCTAATAGATTATTTCAGGTCTTTTTTACTTTGTATAATTATTTTTTATGTATAGCAAGTCCTCACTTAATGTCATTGACATGTTGTTGGAACTGCAACTTTAAGTGAAATGGTATATAAGGAAACCAGTTTTACCAGAGGCTAATTGATAAACAAAAGTTAAGTTCCTATGGCATATTTCTGGTCACAAAAACATTACCAAAATTCTAAATAAAGGCCAAAACATTTCTAATATTAAACACTGAAATGTGAGCTATACATACATTTAAGAAAGTTTGATAAAAACGAGTAAGGTAATTATTTACCCTCTAATTCCAGTTCAGGGTCACAGGTGGCTAGAGTCTCTCCCAGCAGCTCAGGGCATGAGGCATGCCCCCCCCCCCCGACAGTGAGCCATCCTGTCGCAGTGTGCACTCACACACAAACCCACACTCACTCAGTCTGGGACCATGTGGACACAACAATTCGCCAAACACGCACATCTTTGGGATGTGGGAGAAAACCCACGCAGACATGGGGAGAACATGCAAACTCCACACAGACAGTGGCCCCCCACTGGAAATCGATTTGTTTTTTTCTCATCAATGTTATAACAAAAGGATGTTATTCAAGGAACTGCTGTGCATCCACTATTGATTGCTCTGTTGCCCCAGTTTTCATATTTTCCACTAGTATAATTTGAACAATTCTCCAATTGCTTGGTGTTTGGTCATTTTAGTTGTTGTTTAGACTCTTTTTCCTTTTCCTGACCTATGATCCTACCAAAGCTAATGGTATCTGCTATGTGCTTAGAGGACATCCGGCTTCTGGGGCCCTCTGGGATTGTACATAATTTTGCCTGGAAAAAGTCCAAATACTGTAACTAAAATTGTTCCCTTGGGTATTTGTTCAATGGATATAGAGTTGTTTGTGTTTTTGAGTTTTAATGTGTATTTTAATTAAGAAACATAGCAAAAATTTTTTACTAGTCTTACCAAATTAACTTTGAGGCCCCCACTTTTTGTTAATGTAATCCATCTCTACATCACCAAAAATTATTGATCCTACTTTTAAAATACCTCAGAATCTATCCCCTTCTCTCCATTCCCCCTGTTGAGGCCTCATTTTTCTGACCCTCACACCCTGTCTGCCACTGGTTTCATCCACTGCTGTCTGTCTGAAGGAGAATTGTGTGTCCTGAAAATAAATCTGGTGCCGCTACTCCTCTGCTTATACACATTTTCTGATTCCCCGTTGCTTCCATAGTTAAGTCCAAGTCCACTGGTGGGACCTCCAGTTCCTTAGATTTGGATTCCAGTTGCCTTCCCAG